AAATAAGTGGCAAGTCTAATGAATTTGGGAGATTTTCCAGTTGGAGATTGTATTCCTCTTCCCTCTAAATGTTGCCACGGGGTAAAAGAAGTAAAGTTGAAGTCAGACCAGAGGACCACTTTTTGACTACATCAAAGTCAAGTGAAGGAATAGAAATACCACACAGTTGGAAAAAATCACATTCTTCACTGTGTGTTTTAGTCGTTTTTTCCCCTTTTTAACATAGACAACTAAGGGAAAACATCTACCGACATGATTGAAAGAACTGTGGAAGGCACATCTAAGCAAATATTTCATTCCTTTAAAAATTAATGGAACAGGCCGGGCGCGGTGGCTGAAGCCTGTAATCCCAGCACTTTGGGAGGCCGAGGCGGGCGGATCACGAGGTCAGGAGATCGAGACCATCCTGGCTAACACTGTGAAACCCCGTCTCTACTAAAAAATACAAAAAAATAGCCGGGCGTGGTGGCGACGCCTGTAGTCCCAGCTACTCGGGAGGTTGAGGCAGGAGAATGGCGTAAACCCAGGAGGCGGAGCTTGCAGTGAGCTGAGATCCGGCCACTGCACTCCAGCCTGGGCGACAGAGCGAGACTCCATCTCAAAAAAAACAAAACAAAACAAACAAACAAACAAAATTAATGGAACACTGACGCCCACAAAAAAGCATATTTGAGTTAACTACAAACAAAAATAAATTCTTTATTTACAAAAGAAGCATTAACATATGGAATGAAACACCACCTTTTTGATTCACCAATAATCTCACATGCCCTTCAACAAAAGGACTTGCAGTATCAAAGACAGGGGTCAAAGTGGAGGGTATAAAATAGATATGAAGCAGCTGAAGTTTTCTTCACCAGGATTAATAATGAATAAAATTGTTATTACAGTGTGATGAGTTTGCTAAATTTCTTGGATCTGGGGAAGTAACAATTATTTTCGCATAATTAGGCACACCTAAGTGGCATATGCTTCTCAATTATTTATTCTGGAGTGACAATAGTGCAGATGGCAGCCAACTAACCACTGGGACCATGTTCATATTAGCACTGAGGCCCTGCACCCCAGGCAGGAGAGAAGGGCTCCCCTAGAGGCAATGGGTAGGTCGTAGTCTTAGAATGTTTACAGAATTAGTTTTGTGGTTTTGCAGCCTTGGTTTGGGATTATTTATAGTAAGACTGGGATTGCATAGCTATTAGAAAGAAAACAAAAAGTCAGTTTATATGCTTTCCTATTGATGCTTCAATAAAACACTGTTTTATTTTTCTTATCTGGAAAATGAAAGGGTTGGGCTAAATGGTCGCTGGCAGGCATCTCTAAGAATGAATGCCTTTCAGGGAATCCAGAGATGACGAACTTGCAGTTTGAATGTAAAGGTCACATCTCAAGAATGTGGAACACGAGCAGGGTAATTCAGCCACTGAAATGACTTGTTCATCTTGCTCACTGGTATCATTAAAGTGTCACTTAACTTAGAGCTTTGTGAAACCTCTGGGATCATCTCATACGAGTCTCTCATTTTACAGATGAGGAAACTGAGGCTGAGAGGCAGCACATCTACCAATGAGGACATTATTCGAGTTCTTTTTCACAGCCCTTGTCATACAGAATTAAAAGCACTAAGACAATAGGTGGAATGAGAAGAACAAAAAAAATAAAAACTTTTATCCAATTTTTAAAGTAAGAAAGAGGAAATGGACTTCTTAAAACAGAGAAATCATCACAAATGCCACAAACGTTCTTACAGCGTGGTTGCAGCCTAGCTCATTATTTTCTCACAAAGAAAAAGAAAAAATAACATTGTATAATGTGTGCATAATAACTCTGTTGTGCACTTTTCCATTAAACAAAAGAGAAAGTTTTAACAAAAGGTATAATTCATTACTTCTGGATCTGCATGAATTAAAGCAGAACAATCAAATGGAAAAATAAATCAAACATCTTCATGTTAGACTGTCATTGTTATAAGAAAAAATCATTGTTATAGAAAAAGTAAGTATTCTAAGAATAAGATTTCCTTCTAAGCATTTTATAAATAAATTGAGGGGAAAATGATTTTAGGTAAGCATGAATTCAAATGCCAAAGAAACAAACAAGATTACTTCAAAACATTAAAAGTTAAGTTATTTAAAGTTTATAGGTAAAGTTAAAAGATTCCGTAACCACAAAGACTTGGCAACAGTAAAGAAAAGTGCACAGTGGAGTTTTGAGACCGCTGGATATTAGTCACGTACGTAACTCTTAAAAAGCTAAGATCTGAATCATCATTTAAAAGCACACACACTCATTATAGACATTTTGAAAATTTATGAGAATATAGGCATACAACCATTAAACTTTTGAGTCAAAAAAAAAAAATAAAAAATTGAAGACAGAGAAAGAGAGTGAGTGTGTTTTACAAGGCAAAAACCAAGTTGAAAAGGTTGTCTTGAAATGCAAAATGTCTGCTATGTACCCCTGCTTTCTGTGGCTCTCTCCTGAGCACTTCCCTTTACCAGGTACAAAAGGTCCATCTTCCAAATAAAGGTCAATTGCTCCATCACATACATTGTGATGAGGGTCTTTTGACTTCACTGTAGTCAATGAAGCCCCAAAATTGAGCTCCCCAGTAAGAGGGCAGAAAATTTCATCATGAGCTGTCAAAGCCCATTATAATGAAGAAATGTGAGAAAGGAAATTCTTGGAGGAAACCTTCCAATGTTGGACCTCCATATTTGAATCAGGTATCTTAATTGCTGGAGCTGAGCATTTCAGGAAGCTCTCATATGAGGAAGAATTTAGAGATTGGGTTAAAAAGCTGAGCTTCTGAGATCCTGTGTCCTACGCCATTCAACAAAGCAATCACTATCCATCAGTGTCCAACCATTATTAACGTCTACCGGATGTTAAAGCAGGTTTACAGCGGATTAAGGAATCAAGCTTACTATTATGCAATTTTAACGTTTCTATAAGAGTCCAGTGAATTTTCAAAGGGATTTTTGAGGAGGTGAAGAAACAGGACAAGAGAAGCTAACATTAAATTAAAAAATACTTAATTGCTAAGCAACAAGATAAGCCTCTAAGTGATCTTAAAGACAAAGTCCTCAGGTCTAACTTTGTAGGTCATAGCATGATGCACAATCTTGCAAAGCCTGTGGCTGTCTGGCTTGGCAACTTTTCTAGGTGCTTTTCCACTTGGGTATTAAGGAAATAGCAACATCATACAATTTTATTTATTTTAATAATGACGCTTCCCATTGAACCTGTTTTAAATGGGACGGGACACAGTAATACTGATTTATTTGGGTAAACGTTGAAGTTAATAGTATGTCCTTCTTCAATATGTGAGAAAAACTTTAGCATTAACCATGCTTAAGGCTTCGTCCTTGAATCTTGACTAGATTTTACAGACTTCTGCTTAATTTTATGTCCTTTTTTTTTCCCCCCGACAGTTTTGCTTTTGTCACCCAGGCTGGAAGGCAGTGGCATGATCTCAGCTCAGTACAACCTCCACCTCCCAGGTTCAAACGATTCTCCTATCTCAGCCTCCGCAGTAGCTGGGATTACAGGTGTATACCACCACACCCGGCTAATTTTTTTTTTTTTTTTAGATGAAGTCTCGCTTTGTCACCAGGCTGGAGTGCAGTGGTACGATCTCAGCTCACTGAAACCTCTGCCTCCTGGGTTCAAGTGATTCTCCTGCCTCAGTCTCTTGAGTAACTGGGACCACAGGCACGTGCCACCACCCCCAGCTAATATTTGTAATTTTAGTAGAGTCAGGGTTTCATCTTGTTGGCCAGGATGGTCGTGATCTCTTTACCTGAGGCTGATCTGCCTGCCTCAGCCTCCCAAAGTGCTGGGATTACAGGCGTGAGCCACCGCGCCCAGCCGTCAGTCTTTATCATGAAGTTTTTTAGCTATAATGTGTGTGACTGCAGCTGAACAATTCAGATTTCAAATTATTCTTTTCTCCCATCTCCACCTTTACAAACAACTTCCAATAGTCTTGCCCTGTACAGTCAGTGGCAACCTGTCCTAATAGAAAAAAAAAATCTCAATTAGAAATTGCCCCTGTTTCTACCTGGTTATTAAAACTGATCTATGCTGGGCCGGGCGCGATGGCTCACGCCTGTAATCCCAGCACTTTGGGAGGCCTTGGCGGGTGGACCACAAGGTCAGGAGATCGAGACCATCCTGCCTAACATGGTGAAATCCTGTCTCTACTAAAAATACAAAAAATTAGCCAGGTGTGGTGGCAGGCGCCCGTAGCCCCAGCTACTTGGGAGGCTGAGGCAGGAGAATGGCATGATCCCAGGAGGCGGAGCTTGCAGTGAGCCGAGATCGAGCCACTGCACTCCAGCCTGGGCAACAGAGCAAGACTCCATCGCAAGAAATAAAAAAAAAAAAATCTACACTGAAGTATTTAGGGCATGACTGCCAACCAAAACGGAATGGATGTTCAAACTGATCAATCTGAATAACTCTTATCTCATGATTTACATGAAAAATTCTTCCAAAGTAAAATGCAGAGGAGACACTTACAAGTACGTTTCTCAATGCTTCCTAATCAGAAAGGCAGCAGTTAGGAAGGAACACAAGTCTTATGCAACCCTCTGCTCTTGCTATTCCTCCAGGATTCCTGGCTAACAAAAGAGGAGAACGTTGCTGGGACAAGGGAGGATGGAGATGTAGCACCCACCTCTTGGGACTGAAGCCCACCGAGATGCGGATGAGCCATAGCTCCTCGAGGACCCCAGAGCTGTAGCTACAGTCTTTCTGACTCATCACGGGCTGCGCTTTGAGGGATCTGAACACAGCTATGCATGAAGTGTATTGAAAATACCATCCACGTGCATATATATATGCATGGGCTACATAGAATAAAATGTTAATATCCTATCTTGGACATATATATATATATTTTTTTTTTTCATAGACGAAATAATGAATAATCTTCAGCATTTTAAAAATAATCAACTTCATTAATTGTTCTTTTATATTTTCTTGATTCATATACTTACCGTATTTTGCTTAGATTACGTCAAATTGAAACCACATCAAAGCTAGAAATTCTGGCTTCCTGTCATGGATTCCAAGACTAGAAAATTCAAAAAAGGTCAGAAAATGAATAACTTTCATTTGCCAAGTACTCACAATATGCAGCTTAAATAATTAACCCTGCCTTGTCTATCTTTAGAATCACAATAGATAGCACAATGCCTGGCACAGAACTCACCCAGGTCAGCCAAAGTCTATGTATCTGTCCTAATTTTTCCATCTCACTGGGAAAAATAAGCCAGTATTTGATCTGATGCAAACAAATGAATATACATATTAGAAAACACTAGCTTACTAAGTCATTATCTAGTAAAGCAATGTATTGTTAAATTTTTTGTCAAAATGCATATTACAGGTAACACAAAATCAATTTAATAGCACTGAATTCCAGAAGTTCATCATGTAAAACAGAAAATATTGAAATTGACACATTTATGAAGAATAAATCTGCATTTAATTTATTCCATAATAGGCTATAAAAGTGTTTGACATCAAGGATTGAGGTCCCCCACACTTATTTGCCAGAAGATGAGTTGGCCAACCTGCTGGCCACACACACACAGTTACTGGAGCCCACACATCTCAAAATAATGCCTCAAAACTGAGGGCAAGCCCTGCTAGGCACAGCTGAATTTCAAACCAGGCTCAGGAGACGAGAAAACATCAACACGATCACACACCAGTCACTCACATCTTCTATTCCTAATCAGGGTTTTCAAAGGAATTCGCAAGGGAACTGTGATTCACAGAATGGATGGAGAAAATGTAATTATCCTACTTTAAAACAAAATCAAATTGCCGAAGTATATATTTAGGCAGAAAAAAATACCTTTATTAAATTTCTTTGAAGCCTTTGGTGAGCAGAAGGAAAATTTTCAGTAGTTTAGATAAATGGACTAATGCTAATGCTCCGAACTGACAAATAAGAAGTAAGTTACGTGTGCCACCACTATCCTATCCTGTTTCTTATCAAGAAGCAATGCATTTTCAGAAATAGACACGTTTAAAAATAGCATCAAAAATGACTTCCTTTGCATTATGCTATATTTCTTCCAAATAGTTGGTGGGGAGAGAGAGGGAGGGAGCGAGAGAGAGAGAGAGAAAGCGAGAGAATGCTCAGGCAAGCAGGTATAAATGGCAAGGCTTTTCTCTGTAGTCTCCATTACCATTACTAAGTATAATTGAATGTATTAGCAGGTCTCTGCAGGAATGTGATATGCTAACACACTCTAATTTTCATTAGTTTCTCAAAACTGTCATGTGAGGAATTTGAAATATGTGCATGAGAGAAATTAATAATGGCTGGTACTGAACAAAGGTATTAAATTGGTTTAAAATGAAAAAAAAAGCAGAACTTGCTTTTGAAAAGGAAGATGCTTAAATCATACTCAGAAAAGCACTCTGGTGACAGCCTACCATTCATTTTCCTGAGACAGCTGCTGTGCACAAGAGTGAGAATGAACCTGTAAGTCCTCTTGTCACCATCACGGTGAATACCACTGCACTGTATGAGGGTGGATTTAGAAAAGCTAAAAAGTGTTCCTGAGGCGAACGGTTTCTTTTTCCTTTCTCAGAATGAAAAGGTGTACAATCCTTCGCCTATGTCTTACCACTTAGACTGCAGGTTTGCTTAGCTCTGCTGAGATGTAAATACCTTAGCACATCTGGGGAGTCACAAAATGGCAATAGCCTTATAGCCCTTCATCCCTCCCACCAAATAAGCACATTACAGAAGCCTGTTTATAGACGGTATTTCATTCCATCCTTAACCCTGAGTGTGACGAATAGGTATTATCATCTCCACTTTTATTTAGGAAAGCTGAGGTTCAGAGAGATAAAATCACACCTGCCTGTAAGTTCACTAGGGATATGGAGCTGAAATGAGCTTATTCCATTAAGTGTGAGGTTTATGGAGAGCCTGGTATGTCCCACTGAGCTGAATATGATGAGGCACTCTGCTCACCCAACCAGGACTCCCTCAGTTATGGCCTGGGATCTCTTCTTTGCTAACGTGGGGAGGGCTTGGCAGAGGGAGCCCTGATAGCTACAATGATGTGGCTGGTGCTAGAGAATGGTGGCCATCTAACACTTGGGCTATTCTGCGCTGTGTGAACTCCATGTGAGCTCCATGGGTTTCTGGCACCCAGATCTCAGCCTGCTGGGGGCTGCTGTCACTCCTGCAGACTTGTCACTTCTCCCTCTTCATTGTTCTCACTTGGCTAGAGCGTTATTACCCTGGATGAGTGATTCTAAGACCCAATACAATGTCTTTTTAAAAAAAATTTCCTTAAGTCTATTGTGTGGTCTGAAGCGAAAAGAATTTGAAATCAGTCTGTGGACCATAATACAATAGTAGGTAGCAGTAGTTGACAGCTAGCTGGGTCTCAAGGGTTGTTCATCAAGGGTTTAGACCAAACTGAGTAAAATGTAACATTTGGTAACCACATGACTGACCCTTTATAAGGATTATTAGGTGTAGAAAAGTTAAGTAATTTGAAAGGCTTGGCTCTTCATCAAGGTCTGTCTGACCCCAGAACCCAAATGCCTAACCATTAGGCAGCCTCTACCCACCATGCCAGGCAGTGGCCACAAAAAAATTGGTAAAAAGTGACAGATGCACCAATCCAACAACAGATATCTTATTTTTATAATCCAGGCCAGGAGATACAAAAAAGAACAAAATGAGAAGATTTTGTAGTTTCATTCTTATAGTTTCATGCATGTGTCTTGATTACATGCTCATACCAATGAATTACTGGGAGAGATTCTAATTTCTCAATTTTTGATAATGGATATTTAATTTTTAAATTTTTGATGAGAGCATAATCTCTACTTGCTAAAAATAGGATAGAAAAACTTACAAAAATGGCATTTCTTGGTGTTCAGAGGAATTAAATTCTAGTTATTACAGAATTACCTTGCATGTTCATAGTCCCTCAGCCTTTCTGAATACCTCCACTGTCATAATATCCTCTTCTCAAATCTCCCAGAGCATAGATACAGTGGCCTGCTAGGGTACTTAGCAGATTTTATCCTGCCTTCTAATAATGTATAGACACATTGTTTTTCCTGACTTAAAACTAGACATCCAGACAATAAAGGCTTTCCCATGGGTGTCTTTATAAGTCCAATACCTACAATATTAACTTGCACATGGTACACAATCAAATCAGTCATGGTTGAATCAACTGCTAAATGAATGACAGAAAAAAGAGATCCTATTGTAATAGATACTATTGCCAGATAAGTCTGTGTAACAAACTACCCCAACCCAGCAGCTTGTAATATCAAACATTGATTATCATGCTCATGGATTGGCATAGCTGAGCTGATCGGAGTGACCTTCAGGTTGAAAATCAGCTGTGTTGGCCCCAGAGGGGTTGTCTCAAATTGGCTCCATATGTATTCATTCTAAGGTCACAACTAAAGGGGCAGTGGCTATTTGGGCATCCTCTTCTTATGGATCACCAGTGCCTGAAAGGCAAGCCAAAGGTTGCAAGCACGTTTAAGGCCTCTGCTTACATGATGTCTCCTACTATTCCACTGGCTGTGGTCAGTCACGTGAGCCCAAGTTAGTGGGGTAGAAAGCACCCACAATGGGAGTGGAAGGGGTATGAATATTTGTTGACAATGATACAAACCATCATAAAAATGAAATCAGCATGAAGTCGAAATAGACTGAAGGCGAAATAAAACTAAAAGTTTGAGAGCTTCAACTAAAAACTACTTTAGAAAATATATAGGCAACAGAGTCAATCCAATGCAGTTCAAATTCCAACCTCATTTTTCCCATATGTAAAACTGGTGATATTAATAGGTCCTGCCTCACAGGATTATTAAGAAGACTAATGAAATAACTCATGTAAAATGTTGTCACACAGTGCCCTGGGCACCAGGAAATGGCTATTTTTCATGAAATTTTAATAGGTGTTTGATAAATGTTCATGATGATGACGGTGGTGGTGGTGGTGACAACAGTGATGATGGTGATGAGGGCAGTGACAAGTTACAGAAAGTTTCAGTTATGAACTAGTTTTACAGTCAAACCCAGTAATTTCAGGATATCCCTACAGTACAAACTAAAGGAACAAAACTATGTACACAGTTATCTCTGCCAAAATTTTCTATGTAATCTGTGATGGGTACTCTAACACTTTGGCTCTTACTCAAACTGCCTGTGTTGGTCTATGAGTGTCTCCTTTTGGCTGTTCCCACTCTATCTATGAGCCTTCTTCTCGCCAAAGATCCTCTGCGCACTATTAAGGGGCTTCATGTCTCTTCTTTATTTTGTCCTTTTAAGTTCATACTCATTCAATCTAGTACATGAAACCACTTCTCTCACTTTCCCTTTCCTCTCTTCCCTAAACAACCTCCACTCTATCAAAATCACAAACATGCTGAACTCATTTTTTCCACATTGACTTCTGTAGCATCAGTTCAACAATATTGAATGTCTATTATGTTGCAGGTGCTGCATTCTATGGGGTGAAAAATAAAAGCTTAGTAAGGGGTAAAATCCCTCTCTTTAAAATAGTTATACTCTAGTAGAAAAGATAAAACTTCGGTGCTTCAAGAAAATGAAAGAACTAAAATGTGGTATATCTATACAATGAAATATTATGAAATATTACTCAGCCATAAAAAGGAATAAACTTCTGATACATGTTATAATGTGGATGAATCTTGATATGGTTGGATTTTTGTCCCTACCCAAATCTCATGTCAAATTATGATCCCCAATGTTGGAGGAGGGGCCTAATGGGAGATAATTGGATCATGGGGTCAGATTTCCCCCTTGCTCTTCTCGTGATAGTGAGTTCTCATGCGATCTGATTGTTTAAAAGTGTGTGTAGCGCCTCCCCCTCCTTTCTTCCTTCTGCTCCGGCCATGTAAGAGGGGCCTCCTTCCTCTTTACTTTCCACCATGACTGTAAGTTTCCTGAGGCTTGCCCAGCTATGCTTCCTGTACAGCCTGCAGAACTGTGAGTCAATTAAACATCTTTTCTTTATAAGTTACCCAGTCTCAGGTAATTCTTTATAGCAATGTGAGAATGGACTAATACAGACCTTAAACATATTATGCTAAGTGAAAAAAAGCAGACACAAAAAACTACCCATTGTATGATTTCATTTATATTAAATGTCCACAGTAGGCAAATTTATAGAAGCAGAAAGGAGATTAGTAGGTTTGGAGGGTTGGGAGTGGGGGTGGGAATGAAGCCAGAGAAAAATGAAGAGTAACTGCTAAAGTATACAAGTGACTGAAATGTTCTAAAATTGATTTTGGTGATGGTTATGCAACTCTGTGAATATAGTAAAACCATGAAAGTATACACTTTAAAACAGGTGAATTGTATGGTATGTGAATTCTATCTCAATAAAACAAATGAAAAAAATGAATACAGTCCCTTGAACACACACACACAGAATGCAAGATGAAGGAAAAGAAGAGGAAGGAGAATAGGCATCATAGCTTGCTCTATGACTGTAGGAAAAAAAAGTATTATCTGAAATTTTAAACGTATATAGAAATTACCAGATTGGGATCAACACTTTGCATGGAAGCTGTTGTATGTTGGTCTCCAGAGGAAATTACTTCCACGCTAATATCAGTACTTTCCTTTATTTGGAAAAATAGCCATTGTCAGCCTATGGTGGTGTAAGCTTCCTCCCTCAGGCTATCTCCACGAAATGCTATACTGTGCTAGTGTGAGCAGAAGATGTCCCTAGTCACTCCCAATCATTCAACAACCAGCAAAGCTAATAATGTCATTGGCTATTTCCCCTGCTGGTGACAGAAGGAATAAGAAACCGCAGCCCGAAAGAGCCCTCGGGTCAGGAAACTTCACAAAGAGAAGACATAGCAGGCAGTGCCCGCTGGAATTTTTCATCTTTTCAAAGCACACGGCTTATAATTCTGGTGAAAGATTATCTAAAGTAATTACTACAGTTTTAAGACAAAAGATCTGGGCACTTTGCCTCTAGAATGCTGTATTTGGTATATTTGGGAACAAAATTCATCACGCCTTTGCCATCCAATAAGGTGGTCTATTTTTTCGATGTTTCCCCTTAAGAAGGCATCCAAAAAACTGAAACTGCCTGTATTGCTGTCATTTGATTCAATTTACCTCTTCAGGGTTACATCTGAACACTGACTGAGCAAGTTTCACTCTATTTTTGTTCTACAGAACCTGTGGCATCAAAGGTGATTAATAAGGAAGGAAGAAAGGAGGAGGTTAAGAAGCTGAAAAGGCATGACTGTGGAAAGGGGAGTGGGAAAGAAGGACTTACATTAATTTTAAGATGTTTGAATTCAAATTCTTATGTAGAAATTCTGCCCAATAGCCTGTTAAAATTTAAGTTGTAAGTGGTACTAATCTAACATCTGCCACGGAAAAACAATATTATTTTTAAGGCTTATTATTATTTTAAGAAGAACATTAGCCATTTGCACAAACTTTTAAGTTTATGACTCAGTAGGCTAGAAGCAAACAGTTAACACCACAGTCTGTTGTCACAAGTCTCTCTCATATCAATCCAGTAGTATGAATCACCCATGACCCTTTGATCCATTCTTTCTCATGAATAGATGAAAAACTAGAATTATTTCCTCTTAAGAAAACCTGGCTGTGTGCGGTGGCTCATGCCTGTAATCCCAGCACTTTGGGAGGCTGAGGCGGGCAGATCACCTAAGGTCGGGAGTTCGAGACCAGCCCGACCAACATGGAGAAACCTCATCTCTACTAAAAATACAAAATTAGCCGGGCATGGTGGCGCATGCCTGTAATCCTAGCTACTTGGGAGGCTGAGGAAGGAGAATCGCTTGAACTCGGGTGGTGGAGGTTGCGGTGTGTGGAGGTCATGCCATTGTATTCCAGCCTGGGCAACAAGAGTGAAACTCCGTCTCAAAACAACAACAAAAAAGAAAACCTACGGGGTGTGACTCTTTGAAAACTCTTTAATGGGTCAGTGTTAGACTTGGATCCTCCAGAGCACATAACTGCTGAAGGTTCAAAGGGTAGTCATTATACCTTCCCTTATCCCCTCCAAGCTGGAAGGAAGAGGTGCTATAGCCGGAGATTCTTGACACAGCCCCACAAGAGGAAACCACATGGTCAGGACATGTTATCTAGGGATAACAGTCCATGTAAAATGAAAGAAAAAGCACTATGTCTGACAGAGTAAGTGTTTCAGAATTGTTATTAGCAGGCTGAACACAATAGTTAGGTTACTTTTGACCATCAAATAATATAAGGTCCTCTGTCATCTGTCCTAGATAGTATCCTTTTACTACTCTCCACTAGTTTTCCCTTTAAAATCAACTGAAAATGTCAAACCTTTCTCATACTTGTTGCTGAATTATATCCTGCATGTCTTATATGTATTGGTTTTATGAATCTAAATGTGGGCTTTTCATCTGTCCCCACTGAATTTCATCCTATTGGATTTTTTTGTCATTCTACCCTTTTGAGACCTCTTTAAAGTCTGAATTTGCCTTCCAATACGTTAATATTTCGCCTAGATTCACATTCAGATTTTTTTTTCTTTTTTAGATGGAGCTTTGCTCTTGTCGCCTAGGCTGGAGTGCAATGACACAATCTCAGCTCACTACAAACCTCCACCTCCCGGGTTCAAGGAATTCTCCTGCCCCGACCTCCTGAGTAGCTGAGATTACAAGTGCTCACCACCATGCCTGGCTAATGTTTTTTGTTTGGTTGGTTTTTGTACTTTTAGTAGAGATGGGGTTTCATCATGTTGGCCATGCTAGTCTCAAACTCCTGACCTCAGGTGATCCTCCCGCCTTGGCCTCCCAAAATGCTGGGTTTACACGCATGAGCCACTGCACCCAGCCCATGTTCAGAAATTTGATCACCAATTTTAAAATTTTACCCAAGAAATTTTAAAAATAGGAAACATGAGAACTAGAGATAAAGATCTGTGACATTCCACTGGAGAATGCATTCCAGATTGTCATGAAATACGATAATGAGCACTCTTTGGGTATGGCTATTCAATCAATTATGAACCCAACCAAAGACGTCATCATATAGGCCAGTGATTTGCCACCTGTTCTTCACAGAAAATGATGAGTTCCATGGGTCAGCAGAGTGAGGTGGCCTCTCCCCTATTCCTATGGCCAGATCTTTTTCTTCCTTTTTTGGAGGGGAGGATGGGTATTGTATTTCCTCATAATCTTTTGTTTGAACAAAATCCTTTGTGTTCAACAGATTGTTGAAAAGCATTGATTTAGGCCAAATGTCTCTATTTTCTATGAGAATATCAAGATAACCTCTGATAAATGCCTTTAAGATTCAGATAGACTGTCCTAGACCTTTCACTCCCTATCACTCCAGTAATCCCATCACCAAAGCAAATAATCTTAGGCGATCCATGGGGCTCCTGGGTGATCTGTTGCTTTTTCATTTCTTTCATTCTCAAAATATGTTTAAGAGTCTGTCTTATGCTAGGTTGGAACAGGCATAAAGTTTATCATTTTTGAAAATCAGGACTACATTTTGCCAAACCATAGAAATTTAAAAAGTATATTTCATGTTAACCACAGATCCTTTAAAAATGAACAATAATGATCTAGAAATATGGTTTTCACTTTCTTTAGTATGTTAGATGGTAATTCATTTATCTCAAGTTGCTTAGAGGAACTAGAAGTTCTCTTGTTCCCTGTCTATTTGGGTCCTTACCAAAAGCCTGTGACTAGATTACAGAAACTTCATCAACATTAGGGAAAACAAACAAGCAAACCTACCAACAATATCTGTTGGATCACAGATATAATATTTCATTTGTGAGGAACTATATGTTTTCATAGGCTGAAAATATTTATCAGGACTTTCATTCAGTAGTCAATAAGTATTTTGAACAAATCCTGGGCAGGGGGATTCAACAGCCTTTATTATTAACCCTTTTACACACAGAGATATGTAACAATAATTGACTGGCAGGAAACATCTGTACAAGGAAGAAGTAAAACATCCATGAACTGTAAATAGTATTTTTAAAACTCTAATAAAATTCCATTTTTTTCCACTGGCTTCCTTTATTTCAGACAAATGTATCCAGGTATATGGCAAGCGATACTTTAGGCTGTCATCCAGATACAGAGGAATTTTCACTGCAGATTTACTAGAGAGCACTGCAAAATCTAGACTGGGCATCATAAAAAACACAGGGAAAAGGAAGGATAATTATGTAAAGCCAACATTTGAATGCATTGTGTGTGGCTGGCAGACTTCTCCTGACTCGCATTAATATTCACACCGGGCACTGTTTAATGATGCCATTCAGAATGGGAATGTGGAGCAGGAAGAGGTATAGAGGCAATCAAAAAATAATTTATTGCAATAGAAATATTCCTCCTTTTGAAGCATCATTTGAAAAAAGAGACACTATTTTTTCCCAGTTCCTAATTTTACTAAATAGATTCGCTTTCCTGTCAAACCCCCAAGGGTTCTTTATGATTAATATAAATTAGTATGATAAAAATTCCTACACAAAAAATGTATATCTCTCAGATGCCACACCACCCCGGTCCTCTAAAGCCATCACTGTGTGGTAAACCTAAGCAAGGGCCTTCAGTTGGTCATGAGATGCTCTCTTAAATATTTTTATTCAGTTTACCAGGTAACTTTTGACACAAGGAAAGAGGGGGAAAAAAAAGTGCTTCCTCTGCTGTCTTCTGTACTCCAAATCTGTCCATATCAATATTCAAATGAAAATTCCACCCAGGAATGAGAGCGCTTCAGGTTATTTCCAATAT